ATTACTCGGTAAAAAATATCAAATAAATACTCAAAATGATCAAAATAGTCGTACTAATAACATATTAAAAGATACACGAATAAAAGTTACCAATATATAATAAATTTGTATTTTTGTAACATCAAATTTGATAAAAAGTTATAAAAAATATTGAATTATTAAAAATCGAGATAAACAAAATATAACCTACCTCAATCTAGATAACTTTTTGAACTAGAATGATGGATAAAAATGTCCTGAAATAGCTCAAATTGGAGTATCTCTCACTAGAAATTGCTTTCTCTCTCTGCCAACTAGTGCCAAAAAAATTCAAAAGAGTTTTGAATAGTGGATTTGGATAATTCTAATATTAAAATTTGCTCTAGTGCTGCGACACCACACGAAGCTCCCTATAGAATTTACATCGCCGCCTCCCACATAGTGCGCTGGAGATCCGAAAACTTAATGCTGGGGTGCTCCAATGAAAATTTTAAATTTCATATATGCATTAAAACATCTGAAATATACTATATAACACGTGCACTTTCACATACACACGTAACACTCTCATACATGAGCAAAAGAGTATAATTGCAGAAATTTAACAAGTTACCTGAAGTCCAGTCGGGTTAGATCAGTTTGAATAAAACTCTTAATGTAAAGGTCTTATAACGAAGTCCAGGTGCCCCAGTGCTGCTACGCTGCATATGATACTATAGAACATAGAGCTATGATGTCGAGGCGCCGCTCTCTATCACTTCTCAGTGCCATTGTGACCGAAAGTAGAACGCCATAGCATTCCATCTAGTTTTCTAAAAAAATTGAAAATTTATATTATTCAGAATTAGAGCTATTACACAATGAAAGCCTTGCAAAAGGTTAGATGTTATTAATAGTGAATCAATAATAGTTAGATGATATAAGTTTGAAAATTGTGGCGGTGATTGCTGATGGTGCTTAAGAATGATGATCACCAAAAAATATTGTAGAGTTCCCTTAGCTCTTGAACCCGATTTTATATAGAAAATGATATCTTATTATATGATTTTTGAAAGGGATATTTTAGCAAATTTGGACAGAATTCAAAACACTCCATAAAAAATATTATCTATCAAGCATTGAGTGCCTTAATGAACTTAGAATCAAATGATTTTATACAACAACAACAACAACATCAAGCCTTTATCCCACTACGTGGGGTCGGCTACATGAATCCTTTTTCTCCATTGTGTCCTATTAAAAGTCAAATTCTCATTTAAATTTAATAAAGAAAGGTCATTCCTAATATTTTCTAACCAAGTCTTTTTAGGTCTACCCCTACCTTTCTTAGCATAAGTCCTATGGGAGGGAATCGTAGTATCCATCAGCTGCATGATAGGTCCGGGCTCGGGGCTTGAAGTCCCTTGGTGAAGGGCAACGTATCTCCCGTCAGCCGCAGGAAGCGTCCAGGCTCACGGTTTATCTTCTTTCCCTATCTCCTTCCCTCTCTTTTTCTCCACCGACCATCTTCTTCCATTATTCCTCTCTCTAAATCCCCCACCCTCTTCCTTCTGCTTTAACCGCCAGTTTTCTACCACCCTTTCAACCCACCACCACCTCCTAGCCGGTAACCCCATCCCCTCCATTAAGCGCCGGTCCCCTTCCCCACAACCCTTCCCTTCCCCACCGAAATCCACACCTCCTCCCTCTTCCCTTGGCTCCACCCATTCAAATTTTGCATTCAAAACCTTCCAAATTGAGCCTTTCTTATTTTGGGAACAATTTAATTTCATATTCAAATAAATTTGAATTTTTAATTTGTTTTCCTAAAATGAGAATCCCTATTTTAGGAAAGTTCCTAAATTCATGTCCATCTGAATTTTAAATAGGGTTGGAATTAAATCAATCATTCCTAATTTAAAATTCCAATTCAAGCAAGCATTAATTTCTGATGTAGAACGGGTAGGAGGGTGTCAATAATCTGGTACGATTCCTCTCAGGAAATCTGAAACATTTCAGATTTTTCTCACAAAATCTGAGAGAATTGGAGGTGGAGAGGTGAATTGGGAGTGAAGAACAAGAACTGTTACGGGAAGTGAAATTGTTTCCAAAAGGATGTCCAGAAATCTTTGGACAACAGTGGAAGAGGGGGCGGGTAGGTTGGCGGGATTGGGAAGCTGAGGTGGTGTTTAAGGAATTCGGCCAAGAGTTGTGAGCTGGAATTCTCTGGCTGCAGCGGGATCCAAGGGAGGCTGAGGGAATTCCTAATTCCCTTAATCCGTGAAATGAATTAGGGAAATATAATAGGACATAAAGTCCAGGGAGAATTCAGCTAAGGCTATGGAATCAGATTTTTAATAAAAATTTCCATAGGTGTAAAGCTGCAGTTATGGAGAGATTTCAAAAACAAATTAATGAGGAGAGGAGGTCGGCTGGATTGAGGGGCTGAGGTGGAGTTTAATTCCTAATTCCCTTAATTGGTTTATGAATTAAATTAGACATTAAAGTTTGAGAGGAATTCGGCCATGAGTGGGAGTTACGGGAGGGAAGAGAAGAATTAGGGAATTCATTCCTAATTCCCCTCTACAAAATTTGGAAAGTGAATAAAGGCTTGGAAATTTCGGTCAAACAAAATTCTCAAATTTTGAATTATTTCCAAAGAGAATAAATGTGTTTAAAAGAAGATTTTAAATCCAATCAAATAGAAATTGATTTGAATGCGGTGTTAAGACTTTCCTAAAATAGACTTTGTATCTTAGGCAATATTTTGAATTTCAAATAATTTGAATTTGAATTCAAATATACTCCTAAATATATTAAGCCAAGTTAGGAAATAAATAAAAGAGGGGGAAATCAAAAAGGGGAAAAAGGGGGAAGGTGGCCGGCGGCTAGCGGCCTAAGGTCGACGGCCAAGAGGGGGGGTCGGGTAAAGGTGGCCGGCGGCTATGGGGAGAATTTGTGGAGTTTGATGTGGGGAAGAAGTTAGGAAATTTGGTGGAGTTGGATGTGACGAAGACTAATAAAGGAAGGTGGTGAGGGAAGACGGAAATACTAAGAGGAAACCACGAACGGGTTGACCCAGCAACCCGTCGGGTCAACCCGAACTCGAACCCATTTTTCAAATGGGTCGAATCTGTGAACCCGACCCATTTTGGAAACGGGTCGGGTCAAACCCAAAATTCCGGGTCGGGTTCGGGTCGGGTTTTCGTGTTGTGTCAAATATTGGGTTATGAAGTTTGATGTCCATAAGTTCGTCGGATCAATACATCTATTTAACTTTGCATTTGTTTAAATTGAGGCTAAGATGTTCTTAATTAATTCTAAAAAATTTTAATTCAAACATTACCTCAAAATTCATACTAATGAATTGAATTTTCTAAAGAAGTTTCAGCAACTTTAATATTTTTTCTCTTATTTTATGTAGATACATTCATTCAGTCAATTTCGTAATACTAAAGTCTTAACCCAAATCTAAAAGTAGAGGATTGAAAAGTGAGCTCAGTTTTTGCAATTTTTCTATAAGATGCAATTTCTTGTACTCAAGCTCATTTTACAAAATTATCAAAACTTGTCTCTCTTAAATTCTTCTCTCTCTATTTCATTGCTTTCTTTCTTGACTATATAATTTAAAATTTATAACTTTAAGGGTCAAAGTAAAAATAATATCAACTTTATATGATTTTATTCTGAATTTATCATTTTGTATAGTCTTCAAATTCAACATCACATTATTGATTGCCATTTATAACATAAAATTATATAGAAAATATGTTTCATTAATTTTTGTGATAATTTCTTATTCATCAAATAAATAAAAATGTGTAATATTTAGATTTCATATAGAAGTCCTTTTCAAGGTCTATTATAACTTACACCAATACTTATAAGATATGATCATCAAATTCATATATTTAATTTCAACCGATTCAAAGGTAATCGATACTCTAAAATTACAATTTTGAAATATTATGTGCCACTAATTTTAATAATGTCAAATATACTAAATAATTTAAGATCTGTTTGGTTTGTTTAAAAAATAATGCAGTGTAAAGTAAAATAATTTTGAGGTTTTTTGGTCATATGTAAAGTAAACAAAGCCTTGATCAACACCTCTGCCTCTGTTTCATCATCTTCTTATTCTTTTTTGGTCATAGAAAAGGGGGGCAGGTCGTGATGGTCGCGAATTTGAACCTAATAGAATTTGGGTCATGATGGTCGTGAGGCATGGCTACTCGCAAATTTGAGCTGTGCCAGTCACGAGCTAAGAAAAGGAACATTCCATCCTCGCAATGTGCGAGGTAAGCCACGATGCTCGCCATTCTCGTGCATCAACAACACGTTCACTGGTACGGTCGTTGAAGAAGAGGGAAGCATGGACCTCTCTCTCCACTTTTCTTTCTTGTGCATCCTGTGCAATTCGTTCTCACTCGATTCTATGGTATGTCCTTTTACGCGGAAAATATACCGTGATTTCACTTTACTTTAGTTTTGCATTTAAATCAAACACTCAAAAAAATTAAAATTCATGCATTTAGTTTACTTTACACACAAAAAAAATCCGAAAACAACTCCTAAATCTTTCTATTAAATATCATAATAATAAATTAAAATTGAGAAAAAATAATGATTTTCCTTTTAAGGAAGAGAAAATTAATACCAACTTATTTCACTCTTTAAAAATTGGATTTGATTTTAATTGGTTCAGATCTGCTTAAATGCGCCAACATGAAATAATATAAAATCAGGGGGTCAAATTGGTCAAAATTTTATCTAGAGATGTTGGGTGCAATGTTGGGTGCAAGCCAAGGTGACCAACGGTTGCCTATCCCACTCACGCACGTCGCACGTGACAATAACTGATATATATATACCCTGGCAATCCGACGAACCTTATCAATACCTTCTTATTTTTCAACCGTCCGATCCACTGGCGACGCCTACTATGTAATTGCAGGCTGCTGCCAACCGTTCGATTCAAATCAGACGATACAGATCTAATCTTTGCCTTCCCTTTCTCAAAAATAAAATGCCGCCCGTTGGAAATCTTACTCCTATCTCTTGTTTTCTCTCTCTACGGGGCTGTTGTTCGTTCCCCAGATTTTCTATCTCATTCCCTGAAAGGCGAGAACTTTCTCTCTCTTTCTCTGTACAGATCCTTTCTCCACTAGGCCTGTCTGGGAGCTGTCGCTGCGATTAGAGAGCGCAGAGAGGAAAGAGGAGGAAGGAGAAGGGGAATGGAAGGTCATACCTCGAAGCTAACGCGCGCGCCTTCCTCCCTGCTCCGTTCCCCAACCCTTCGCTCCTCTGTACACAGCCTCGCCGCCCTTGATTCTGCGGGATCCGATCCAGAAGAGATCAAACCCCATTCTCCGCCTCCATCGGCCTCCGTCGCCGCGGTTTCCACAGGAGGAAATTCCGGCCACCGTCTCGCCTTCTTCTCCTTTCTCCTAACCATCTTCCTAATCACCCTCTCTTTCTTCTACCTCCGCGACCAGTCTCCCTCCCTCTGGAATCTCTCCCTTGCCTCCGCTGCAGTCGCTGCCGCCTCCCTGATACTCAAAAGAACTCGCTTTTCTCTCTCCCGGCGCCGCCGCAGCCGGAGCGATTCGGTGCGGTGGTTCATCGGCGATGACGAAGGCGACGTGGAGAATCCGCGACCTAAAATAGGGGGAAAAACCGTGAGAGAAGGGGTTGAATTTTACAGTAACGGGGATTTCTACGAAGGGGAATTCCACAAAGGGAAGTGCAGTGGAAGCGGTGTTTACAATTTCTTCGGGCAGGGGAGATACGAGGGCGATTGGGTCGATGGAAAGTATGATGGTTATGGAATCGAACGGTGGGCTAGAGGGAGCCGGTATCGAGGCCAGTATCACCATGGCCTCCGCCATGGATTTGGGGTTTATAGGTTTTATAACGGAGATAGCTATGCAGGCGAGTGGGTCGGCGGGCAGAGCCATGGGCGAGGGGTACAGAGCTGCTCTGATGGAAGCTGCTATGTTGGGGAGTTCAAGTTCGGGGTGAAGCATGGATTAGGGTTTTACCATTTCAGGTATGATGATCAATTTTTTATCTTGGCCTTATAAAGTTTTGATCTTTGTTTGAATCTGTCAGTTTTGGGCTAAATTTAAGCTTCTATTCTGTTGATTGAATATTTGGTTTTTGTTAGTGGAGTATTTGATTGAGATCTTCTTTACTATTTGATTGGATTCTCGGAATTGAAGCATTTAAGAAGGTTGGTATTAATGGTGGTAATTTGATATTAAATTTAATGATCTTTGAAGTATGGTTGGCTCTGTTTTCTTTTGCACTTAGTTGACTGCAATAGATGTGTATGGATCTCCTTTGTGGGAAACAAAAATGGAGAAAAAAAACCTTTGAATATCCTGATACAGATTTTTAGCCTAAAAATCAAAGTATTTACTTTCAAATTTATGCAATATAAATTCTTTATGTATGTCACTAATCTTAAAGCAAATATAATTATTATAAAGCCCATCATAACCAAAATTTTATCAGGATATCTTGGTGTATTTTTCTTTCCCAAACAAATTGGGTCTAGGTATGCTAACTAAATTTTTGTGAGGATGGGTTTACAATCTATTGTGTATACTTTGAGATTAGTGCAATTTAAATTTTAGATTGATTCCTCACATTTACACTCATCTCCAAACAAATTGAATGACTTTGAGATCAGAAATTTTCCTCTTGCTGTTAAGCTTTTGATTACATGTTGGTTTTGCTTTGTTTATAGTTCTTCTCTTTTACCAAATCTCAGTAATTTTATATTAATTAGTCAATAAGAGAACTTAGATGTGTGTACACAAAGAAACTGACAAGCAAATACTGAGAATTCGGGTTAATAGGTGACAAGGATTTTTTTTTTTAATATAATAGACAGTTGTAGCTTTCTCACAATTCTAATTCCCTGGATCTTATAAAAACTTACTGTGAACCATCTTTTCGATTCATATTGTTCACGAAAAATACATTTTGATTATCAGAAATGGCGATAAATATGCGGGCGAGTACTTTGGTGACAAGATCCATGGTTTTGGTGTATATCACTTTGCTAATGGCCATTGTTATGAGGGGTCATGGCATGAAGGAAGGCGGCAAGGTTTTGGGTCATATACCTTTAGAAGAGGTGAAGCAAAATCTGGAGAATGGGACTGTGGAACTCTGAAGAACCCTCTCCCTCTTGGAGATCCCAACGTTCAACGGGCTATGCAGGTATATGAATATACCCAATTTCCATTAGGAGGGTAAGGTAAAAGGAATTTCTGAGTTTTAAGTTTTTAAGATGTTTAGTATGAATTTATACACAACAACAACATCAAGCCTTTGTCCCACTACATGGGGTCGGCTACATGAATCCTTTTTTGCCATTGCATCCTGTTAAAAGTCAAATTCTCATTTAAATCTAATAAAGAAAGTCCATTTCTAATATTTTATAACCAAGTCTTTTTAGGTCTACCTCTACCTTTATTAACATAAGTAAAATCTAATACCTCAACTTTCCTAACCGGGTCATCAGAAGGCCTCCGTTTAATGTGACCAAACCATATAAGGAGACTCTGTCTAATCTTATCTTCCACTGGAGCTACTCCAAACTTTTCACGTACAAATGCAAAGTATTTTTTTTATGGAACTTAGATTTTTTCAAACAATTCATTTTTGAGAATTGCAAATTCACTCTAATCAGACCAATTTCAAATACACCATTTACTACACGAGCACTCCCCTCAACCGTCTGAAGCACGGCACCATGATTTTTCATCTCTCTTATTGCTGGTGTTCGTGACGACGATTCAGCCCGAAGAATTCTCATTCCGGCCACAAATCCCGTCTGATGTCCCCCCTCCCCTCACCCTTGTTGCCTTCTTTCTCTCTCACTGTGGCCTAGTTTACGTTTATATATTCAAATTGTTAATTGCACCCAGAGAAAAGAAGATCTATTTTAAGACCAATAAAACACAAAAAAACTCATTTTATTTACTATTTATTCTCAAAATGCATGAATACTAAACACTTACAACCAAACAACCTCTTATTACATCTGTTTGCAAATTAATTCTCTATATTTTTCAATTTCTAACAGTCTGCCAGAAAAGCTTCTGAGAAATCGATTCTCCTACCTCGGGTTGAAGAGCAAGTAAACAAAGCAGTTAATGCTGCCAATAAAGCGGCCACCACAGCTAGAGTAGCTGCTATCAAAGCTGTGGAAAACCGAATGAATGGAAAGTTTTGCAACACAGAAGTCTGAAGTGAATGAAGAACAATACAAGTAATCCATCCGTCATCTAATTGTGTATATTTAAGCTTATTTTGTTTTCTCAATATTTTCAGCGCGTTAGTGATCTCTTTGGCAAACATCTTGCTGATCGCTGTGAGTTTGAAGGTTAGAAGAAGGGATGAAATACTAACAATTCTCCCCTTCTCAGTAAGATGTACATAAATCCAAATGTGTGCTTTTTGAATCATACAAGGGTTTTTTTTCCTCAAATGGAATGATGCCAAGCAGGCATGTAAATGAGCCATGTTTAAGTGAGCTCAAGTGTTGTTCTGCTCGATTTTGTTAAGCAAGCAAGCTAATTTTTTTTATAATATTTGTATTAAATAGTTTTTTTATTAGTTTTAAATGAGAATTTGACTCTTAATAGGACACAATGGAGAAAAAGGATTCATATAGCCTACCCCATATGGTGGATTAAAAACTTATTGCTTGTTGTTATTGTTTGTCAGTTGTCACGTTAACTTATCGAGTTGTTTATCAACATAATCATATATGAATTATAGTATATATATATATATATACACACACGCACACGGCATATTTATATGCATATTTACACATAATAATGACAAGGGCTTGTTCGTGCTCGACTCGTAAGGCATCCTTTGGGGCTGCTTTTTATTGCTTCAAAAAGCTGCTTTTTAGTATAAAAATCTCTTGCAAGTAGAGAAAAAACAGTCGTTAAAGTTGTCCCAAATGAAGTCTTAAACATACTTGCTTATAGAAATTTGCCAAACTGAAGCTAATTGTCGAGCGGACTGCAATCGAATGAGAAGCATTTTTGGCAGCCCAAATGCCAAATAAGACATGCAAAGTTAATGTGCTATACTATATTTTTTTTTTTTGGGACATTTAGGCCATTTAAGGCAAACTCACACAGACAACGCATACACAAAGACTTGAACCCAAGACCTCTTAGTTGGAAGCATAAGCTCTCAACCAACAAGCCAAGGTGAGCTGTGTGTGATATACTATTCTTTTAACTATTGCTTGATTCTGTTGGAATTTTCAACTGGAAATTTTTTTCTTCAAACACCGATTTTTCCTTATTTCTTTAATCAAACTATTGCATTGGTTAACTTTTTCTTTAAAATTAAAGCATTCAAAGCATGTTTCTCTAGACTGCTAGTTAAATAACTTTTTTCTGCTGCAAATTTTCTCATGAAAGTCACTATCAAGATCCAACCACTCCCACCCCCTATTCTTCCAATTTAGTCTGTAAGAAATTGATTATAGCTTTGCCATCCCCTCTGGCCCATAGAGCATTCTTGGTCTCTACGTTTCCTGATTTTCAGTTGTTTTATATCATAGAACTGCTATATTACTATAATTCAGCCATATTTATATTGTTGCCATATCTATAGCTTTTGTGTAGGTCCTAATGTGTCACCTTATATTAAAAAAATATTAAGAAATAATTAAATCATAGAGAAATAATTCAATTATTATTTCCGAAGTATTCAAAATGATTTTTTATTAGATTTAATGAAAATTTGATTCTTAACAGAATACAATGAAGAAAAATGAGTCATACGTAATGGAATAAGAGAGATTATTACGTCGGAGTTCGGACACAAAGAACCATTCGGTTTTGTGATTCTAAACAGTAAAAGCGCATTGACGCACAGTAACTATGCTTTTATTGTTCAGAGTAATTTTGCTTTTACTGTTTACAGTCACAAATCCAAATGATTCTATGTGTTCGGATTTCACACATAATAATCTCTAGTGGAATAAAGGCTTGATGATGTTGTTGTTGCAGATTATTTGATGAATGGTTTAATGAATTAATGTTGAAGGATTTTGATGATAAATGAATACTATAAATAGAAATTATTAAAAAGAATTTAATGCTTCATGCCATTTATTCAAAAATCTCTATTTGTTTGGGTATTATATCATTATTATTATTATTATTATTATTCATGTAATGAATGATGTTGTTCCCTGCACTGCACATGGAAGGCCTAACATCCCACTTTGAAAATGTTGCCTGCTTTAATTATTGTAAGTACAGCTATTCATTTCATGGCTAAAGAACCCTTTTTGTATTATTATTATTTTTATCAGCAACTATCAGTAGAGTTTTCTTCTGTAATAAATGCTTTGAAATCCTTCTGAGTTAGGCTGATTGTTCAGCCAATTAGTATTAGAACATTTATTATGTTTTCATGTACAAGGCATTGAAGAAATAGTGGGGTATATTTATTAAATTGAGCTTATAATTGCTATTTAATGTTGAAGAATCCTTTTTCTTTTTTGACCGTTTGTTTTGGTAGATTGACTGGTCAGCAGATTTAAAATTTGAAAATGTCGTAAATTTTTTTTTAAATTAGTGCTTATTTATGGGAGCTTTTAAGTTTTTTTTTTCGTTTTCTAAAGCAATCTTTTAGTGCAAAAATTTATCGAACTCGAAAATTTTTGTATTAGAAAGCTATTTAAAAAAACAGTAAATAAGTTGTTCCAAATGAAACCTTAGGTTTCTTTTGGGACGGCTTGTTTTACTGTTTTTTAAAGCAGCTTTTTATTGTGAAGCCATAGACTTGAGGAATAGCTTTGTAAATTCTAGAAAATTTTGTTAATTGTTTAGCTGTGTCAAGAAATGACTTAGACTTTATAATCTCTACATGAAGACATCTCAAAATATTTAGGTTCGGGTTGACTCGATCAACTTTTGAGTGGGGTTCGGGTTCCTAAAGGTTGACTTGATTTAATTTTGGGTTGGGTTTTGTTGACTTGAAAAATTGAAATTCAACTGATATCTTTTAATTTATTGGGTTGTGTTGATCAAAAAAATATATGACGAGACCAAAAAAAAAAGTTCAAGTTGATCCGATTAAATTTCATGGATGATTTGGGTTCTAAAAGTTTGAGTCTAAGGTTTCATTTGGGACAGTTTTTTTACAGCTTATTAAAGCAGTTTTTTAGTAGAAAAAATAAAAATTTTATATTAAAAAATTGCTTTAAAAACAGCAAGAAAATTGTACCAAACGAAGCCTAAGGCTTCATTTAGGATGATTTTATTGTTTTTTAAAATAGTTTTTACTTAAAAATTTGTACCAAAAAATTACTTTATAAAATAATAAAAAACCGTTTGAAATGAATAGTAAGTAGATTTGGGTGGGATCAACTATGGTTTGGGCCTTTAGCATAGATTTGGGTGGGATCAACTATGGTTTGGGCCTTTAGATATGCTTTTCTAATATTTTCTTTATTTTATGAATTTTCAAATGTTATCCCATTATAAATTAATTGGTGATTGAGGGCAAAAAGCCCGTATTTACTATGTAAAAAAAGGATTATAAGTAAGTTATAATAAAAAGGCAAAACCTCAAACAAAGTAGAGGAATTACCAAAAACCTATACCCCCATACAAAAAGAAAATTACAAGAGAACCAAAAAGAAAACAGTCGACAAAATGATGGGTAAAGACCCATAAGGACTCTGACTGCTAATCTAGCAAACCGTCAAAATCAACAATGCGACACCGAAAATACTCTCCTGGTTGCCAAAAAGGCCATCCAAGGAGAGAATTAGCAGCTACATCATAGTCCAAAACGCTAGCATATCCCAAAACTTCATACAATCATAGCCCATGTTGAACCAACAAAAACTGGAGATAGAGTCCATCAGCCAAAAATTTTCAGAATGCCAGAAAACCGCAAAGTGCAAAATGCCATCCAGCACCAATTTGAAGGAAACAGCCAGCTCCAGAAAAGTAATAAGTCTAAAATGCGCTGCCAGAAAAGGCTAAAAATCATTTTGCATCCTCCAAGGCAATTTCAAATTTTCTTTATGCTTCCAGGTAGAAACCTTCACCTCAACCGCCAGCTTAATAATATTGCAAAGAGTGATAACACTTCTAAATTTGAAATTGAACCTTCTTTCGTTTCTTTCCCTCCACAAATAATAAGCAGCACAAGAAGTAGTAAGCAGTAACAATTCTTTTTGGTGCTTAACCATAATATCAAAATCTCCCAAATAATGAAGAACTTGAGAAAGCCGAGGCCGAAGAAGGAACTCACCCAGCTTAGGAATTAGATTGCAAATAATAGAAAATGCGTAGTCACATTCAAACAAAATGTGAGGATTTGTTTCAAAATGTGAGCCGCACAACATACAGTTTGGAGCAATAAAAATAGACCTCTTCCTAAGTTCCTCTGCAGTTTTAAGCCCACCATTAATGGCAATCCAAGAATATATGGAATATTTAAGAGCATGATGTTTGTGCCAAACCAGTTTGTTCCAATCAACAATAACCTCTTCTTTATAAAAATACTTAAAAAAAAAAAAAGAAAAAGGAGTGTCTCTGTCCTTCCAAAAAAGCACAAGCTTAGCATCTGTAGTCAACCCCAATGAACCCAATGCTAAATTCAAGTCAGCAAAAATGAAATTCGGAAGAGTCCAGCCATTCACCCCCAGAAATTCAAAAACCTTTGCATTATGATTGAATATAGAATCCAGGTGCTGGTAAGAAAAGGCTTGGTATAAAGATCTTCCTTGAAACCAAATCCCATAACATAGAAATGACATTGTTGGGTTTAAAGGCAAAACCGACATCAGGCCTAATAAGCAAAGCTGCTTTTCCAATTTCAGACCAAAGGGGAGAAGGTTTACATAAGGCAGGAGTCCATGGAGTACCATATTTAGCATTTAAGAAATCAAACAGAGGGGAATTAGCATTGTAAAATCTGAAGATAAGAGAGCACATGCTAGCAAATTGTAAACCCTGTAAATCCGGAATGCCCAGCCCGCCATATATTTTTGGTTTACAAGTCCTTTTCCAAGCAATTAGGTGCAGTTTTTTTGCCTCAAAATCCCCAAAAAACATAAATTTTGCACAAATTCTGCTTAGAGTTTTGATACATGACTTACGAATAACTCCCTCTAATCCAATATGCAATAGAATTGCAAACATTATATTTAAGAAATCGGAGCCGGCCAGCAATTGAGAGCAATCTAGCTTTCCTACCAGATAAATGGTTAGAAATGGAATTCAAGAGAGGTAGAAAATCAGATTTATAGTTCTTTTTAACAGAAATTGGCAGGCCAAGATAAGTCATCTTGTTGCAAGGAGTAGGCATATTAAGGGCCTCACAAACTGTCATATGATTTTCAATATAGCTAGATAGGATAATTTGGCTCTTTTCATGATTCACCAAAAGGCCCGAAACCTTAGCAAAAACATTTAACACCTCCCTAAGGGCTGCACAATTGGAAATAATGGCTTCCCCAAAAATCAGAAGGTCATCTGCATAGAGCAGATGAGAAATATTCATGCCTTGCTTCTGAAACCCAATAAATCTATGTTGAGATGTATCATTATCAATCAAGCAAGAGAAGCCA